TAAATAAATAAATAAAAATAAATAAATAAAAATAATAAATAAATAAAAATAAATAAAAATAAATAAAAATGAATTTCAGCTGCAGCAGCAGCGCCAGGCAGCAGCAAAAAGCAATCCACAAAAAAAAACTAAATTTATTTATTTTTTTTATTTATTTATTAAAATATATTTATTTTAATTAATTTAATTAATTAATAAACTTATTATTTACATATCTTCTGCTGCTGCTGCTGCTGCTGCTGCTGCTGCTGCTGCTGCTGCTGCAGCGTTCCAATGGTCACTTGTGCTGCTGCTGCTGCTGCTGCAGCAGCAGCAGCAGCAGCAGGAGCAGCAGCAGCAGTATTTTTGTGTGTATTTTGTCTATTTTTTTGTAATATTATTAATATTGTCTTTATTATATTTTTATTTTTTTATTTTTTTTGTTTTTTTCTGCTGCTGATGCATACACACCTAGGGGGCGGTGCTGCGGTGCTGGTGGGGGCTAGACCAGCACGAAACGAGCAGAAATAAACACAATAAATATAAAAAAAATAAATAAATATATTTTATTTTATTAATTATAATTTAATTTATATTTTTCTCTTTTTTTATACACTAAAACCCCCCCTTTCCCTTCGTCTGCTCCTGCGGTAGCCGTCAATGGAGCTGCATATACACCCCAGAGTGTACGCTGCCTTTCTCATCTGTCTTTGGTTGTTTGCTGCTGCTGCAGCAGCAGCAGCAACAGCAGCAGCAGCAGCAACCCCTGCTGCTGCTGCAGCAGCAGCAGGGGTTTCTGAGAAACCCTTCATTGAAGAATTTGCAGCAGCAGCAGCAGCAGCAGAAGCAGCAACAGCAACAGCAGCAGCAGCAGCAGCAACCCCTCGTAGGCTCAGCAGCAGCGTAGATGTCAGAGAGCAGCAAGAGGAGCCCCTCCCTCCTTCTGTTGCAGCAGCAGCAGCAGAAATAGCATCTGCAGCAGCAGCAGCAGAAAGAGCAGCAGCAGCAGCAGCAGCAGAGAGTGCATCAGCAGCAGCAGCAGCAGCAAAAAGGGCTGCACTAGCAGCAGCAGCAGCAGCAGCAGCAGAAACTGCAGCAGCAAAAGAACAGCAGCAGCAACCACTGAGTGTTGCTGATAGAATACGCCTTAAATTTCATTCTAATAAATTATTTGACGAAGACGAACCAGCAGCAGCAGCAGCAGCAGCAGCAGCAGCAGCAGCAGCAGCAGCAGCAGCAGCAGCAGCAGGAGCAGCAGCAGCAGCAGCAGCAGCAGCAGCAGCAGGAGCAAGAATACAGTCTAGAGAAAGGAAACGAAGAAGAAAATAATAAAAAACAAATAAAACAAAATAAAAAAAATGAAAATATAAATACAGAAAAAGAAGAAAATAAAAATAAAAATAAAAATATAAATATAAATAAAAATGTTAAAGTTACTTGTTTATCTAATTGCTCTATGCACGGTAAG